TTTTCTCAACTTTGCCTTGTTTCCTTCTTTAACATGCAGTCATGAAGTAAAATAACTAGGTTGCAGTGCTTCGATGTATAAACTTTACTTAACCCTTGTGCACCCCTTAAAATGTAATGACACCGTTACTGTTGTCTGGGCTAACAAATTAATAATAATAATACTGATCTTGTTGAATGATATGGACTTATTGGGTCTGAAATAAAGTTAGTAAATAGATAGTTAGATAGATAGTAATTTCAGCATGTAGGTAATCTGTGTTTGAAATATTACCATCTTGATCATGTCATGTTGACAATAGTTTGTTGACACAAAAGAAATGGCAATTGCATATCACTTTCACCTACACAGGACACTTGTTAGCTTTCAATTAGTACTTAGTTTTTTCACTTTACATTAATTTCCATATTAAAAAAAAATAAAAAAAATTGAGCCCCTGCCCCTGTATAATCATGTGCATGTCCCTGTACTGGCTCCAAGGTTAATCTTCACTGCTCATGTTCTCCTCAGAAGCACTCACCTCATTCCCCTCAGGTGACTGTACATGCAGCAACTGCCTGCTTCAGGTTTAGATGGCGCTTCATGGTTGTGTTTTGGAGAAATGACCAGCCAAGTTGTGTTAAAAATTTAAATTTTTCTAGGGCAAAAGGAAGCCTCCGCATTCCTATCGGATATGTAAATAGCATGTTTTTGCAGGTGCATAAAAAGGGTCTGTGTGTGTGTGTGTGTGTGTATCTTGCAGTACTCTGAGCAGAATGAGAGGCAGGACACAGACACAGTTATGGAGACATTCTTGTACATATATGTAGGACATTTGCTCAACAGTTGTTTGTGGTGGCTCTGAAAAGAACCGTTGTGGGGGTGCAGTGCACTAGATGGAATCCTGCCATGAGACCACTCCTTCAGCTGAGAAGTGCTCGGTGAAGGACTGCCTGACTGCGATGGCCTCCCGGGACGGGTTGTTTGAAGCGACACGTCCCAGCCCTGCCTGAGGCTCCTCACCACCTGTGATGGCACCCAACCCCATGGCAGCTTCAGGCTGAGACCTTCGCAGGAAGTTATGAAGGACACAGGTGGCCTTCACACACTTCTCTGCAACATCTGGAGAAACCTCAAGGGCACGTCGGTACATCCTCCACTGAGTGGAAAGAATGCCGAAGGCATCTTCAACCACCAGCCGCGCCCTGGACAGCCGGTAGTTGAAAATGCGCTTCTCTCTGGGGAGGATGCGCCCTTGATACGGCCTCATGAGGTTTCTCCGGAGCGGGAAGGCCTCATCTGCAACAAACACATGAGGTTGGGGTCCCCTGTGTTCAGCTTCAGGCAGTGACCGATCCGGAGGCAGCTGGAGGGAGCCAGAACGTAGGGCCTGACCAAACGCAGAGTTGGCCAGAATCCCCCCGTCACTGGTCCTCCCGAAGCCTCCGACATCGATCACTCGGAAGCAATAATTGGCATCTACAACTGCCAAGAGAACAATAGAAAATGTTCCCTTGTAGTTATAGAACTGTGATCCTGAATTGGCAGGAGCCTTCAGAACCACGTGCTTCCCATCCACTGCACCACAACACAAGGGGAAGTTCCACCGCTCCTCAAAACCCTGTGCTATGGATCTCCACTCATCACAGGTGGGCACAGCCATGAAGTCCTCCACCAAGCACTCCCAGATGCAGGACACGGTGTCTGCCACGATGCCCGACACGGTGGAAACTCCAACCCGGAAGCTGTATGCGATGGTCCTGAAGGAGTCTCCAGTAGCCAGGAACCTAAAGCACATAAAAATTAATTTCATTACAAATTTTATTTAAAATATGAGGCCATATGAAATAGAAACGTAACCGAAGATTTGAGTGTCCATAAATCCTCTTTGACACAAACATTTATGCTAGCACCCAGTGTATCTGGTCATTTTAAAGTAATTGATTTCCAGGTAATTTTTTTACAGTATGTATTGAATGTGTTAAGGGTTAATTTTTTTCAGTGTAACTTCTTACTTTACTGAGTGGATCAAATAAAGGACACAGACCAATCCTGTTTACTTCTTCAGCAGCACCTTATCAGTCTGATCAGATAGGATTATTTTCACAGGAGTTATATTATCTGTCTTTAGTAAATTGATCAGATTCACAGAATTTCTAAATCACATTAGTGTGTGAGAGAAGTTTTATTTTGACTGGATATTAAAGGACAGAGGCAAAGAGCAGCTCACAGGAGGAACTCAGTGTACAGAAAGCTGATAAACTTTGCAGTTTTGCCTTATTTGCCCAGTGTATCTGCTCATTTTAAATCAATTATACTTGATTATACTCACCGCAGACAGATAGACAGGCGCTCCGAAGCTGGAATGGAGCGCCTGTAGTTGGTGTCCTGGCGGGAGATGCTGCTTCCCACCCGGGCGAGGAGGTCCTCAAACTGCGCCGTCGACAAACGGAAATACCGCTGGAAACGGCCATCGTCGAGGCGGAGCTCCTGGAGCAAACGGTGATATTCACCCAGCTCCGTCCTCCTCCGGATGGTTTCATGCACCCATACACGCCGGCGGCGTCTATGTCGGACACGAAGGTATGCGGCAGCACAGGTCACGATGTCGTCCATCTTCAACACTGGTCGCACTGAAAACTGAGCTACTGACGTTAACGTGATGACGTCATCGGCGACCAGCCGCGACCTGCGACCTCCGCGACTGCAGCTTTGGACCCGGTGTTGACACACCAGGGCACCACGCGACGCGACCTGACCGACCAACGCGACGCGACGCGACCTGGTCGCGTTTGGTCTGAACGCGGCTTTATGATGCAACAAGCCCTTGTCTTCCCTACGAGATTTCATAATCGCTTAAACAGCTGTTTAAACAAAAGACATGGCTGAACTAACATCTTACAGAGTCTGTGGGCAAAAGTTAGAATCAAAATTCACATTATGAGGTGAAAAGATCCTAAAATTGTAACATTTACACGAGGGACGAGTGAACACATCAGAGGCGGTGGTGGAAGACGTTCTTAGCGAGAAACAGAAACCCTTGGAGGGGGAAATGACAAACAGTCACAGAGGCAGGAAACACAAACAAACAGTGGATGTAAGAGAACAAAAATATTTCAATTATATATGATAAACCGGGAAAAAGTGAACTGATTATTGAAACAATGAAATACAAAAAGGACTGTAGGTAGGCTGCACTGACCCAAATGTAAAATGACCCCTTTGATTGAAGGTTAATTTTAGGAGGAGTACTGAACACAAGGCCTGATGCTGAAATAGACAAATAAAATAAAACAAGCTCAGTTGATGTTTTCAGCATACAGACATCATACAGCCACAACCACAACAAAGCAATGTCCAAAAGAGACAGGTCCCTAATACAAATGCTGCTGTTTCTTCTGCATCTGTTAAAATTGCCAGCTGTAAAATAATGGAGTAGACTAAACCATGAATGAAGATGTTCACTTTTGTGTTAATATGACCTTTAAGTCGTCTGATAACAGTTCTGTTGCCATGGAAGTGCTGTTACGCCCCACCCGAAGGTGGCCCTATGGTGCTAACAACTATCCTCAACTTTTTACCCATTAAATTAACAAAACACCTTCAAAAGTTTAACATGTGATTTATTGTGACAAAATAGAATTGCAAACTAGATACAAAGCACCCACAACACAAATGAGCGGCAGCAGGGCAGCAGTTCCCCACCAAATGCCTCTCCAGACTGCAGGCAGCTCTCAGTCTTCAAAGGCCCAACACCAGGTGAGTCTGATTAGCACTCAGTGATTTCACCTGGGCAGCTATGGAGAGACACAAGGGGAAAAACACACACAGAACAAACACACAGCCCTAACACCCCCACCCTTAAAACAATGAATAAATAATTTGTACTGCAAAAAATCACAACTATCACACACCATTAATCAAAAAAAAAAAACATTTATTCATTGATTCAAAGTGCATTGTGCCAAGAATCTATCTCAATGGGTGTTACTCACCAAGGCTGTGTATCACAAAACACAGGCCACTGCACAAGCGTAAAAAAACCTTAACCTTTGACAAGCACTGCTGACAAAAATGTGCAAAATGGGTCGTGAGGAACACAGTGGCTGTGTCCGAAATGGCATACTGCCTACTATCTACTTACCTACTCAAGCAGTAGCTACTGCCTACTGACTACTCAAAGATGATTTGAGTATGTCGCGGCTGCCCGAGCGTTTACACACATACATACTAAATACCCCAGAATGCAATTTGTGCCGGCCGGAAGCAGCGCCGGGAAAATTTAAATAGTCCTACCACACGCTTCAAACACGACTGCATACCGGACAGACTGTATAAATTCAATCAGAGAAAGTAAGTGTTTACATCACGATTATGAGCCCAGTTGTTTGAAAGGCGGCTGTTTGTAAATTTGTCTCTGCGTTTTCGGAGACCGAAACGTCCGCTTGGTGGGTGTTTGCGTCTATTTACCGTAAACACCGGGCAGCAGCAGCTCCCCCTTCACGTTTCCAAATTATTGCGAAGTGTTTTCATAATCACCATCTACACGACACAAACTAAGCAGCAGTGAATGAAAAAAATCACACAAACATCTGTGTATCCATGGTGATAACGCTATACACCACCTGCTGGGCGTGTGATGAGCAGCATAGGGCTGCAAAATGACCAACACACAACGTAATTATGACCTTGTTCGGTTATTCCTTGGCAAATACATCATTTCCCGACTACATTCTTCTCATGTACAATGATAATTTCAGAAACCATCGGGTCGTTCTGCCTGGTGTAGACTGACAACCATGGAGTGCCGCCATGCAAGGAGACGAAGGCGTCTTTTCTTCAGGGCAGCTATGTACTTCCTGATGGATTTTCAACCACAGGTAAGAATTAGTAAAGCTCACATATACTGTACATTGTCAACTGGAAACTCCCCCGTTTGTATATTCTGAACTATGTGCTCTCTACAAATAATAATTTTTATTAACCCCTTGTCCCCGACGGTCCCTCTCCCGGGCCGAGATTTTGCTGCATGTATTTAAACGCTGTAAAAAATGTATTGAAACTTGACCGCGGTGTTAACTTTCAATTCTCAATCAAAGTTAAGACTCTAATGTTCACAGAACTGGGTCGGATGTCTGTTTTTAGTGTAAACGTTACCCTTTTATGTCCATTTTAATCTGTCTTTGTTTCTGTGTCTGGACATTTAAATTTTGCGACATCGACCGAATCAAAGCTTTACAGTGTAGCGGAGAAAGGCTAAAAAAAAAAGACATGAAGGAAATGTAAATGCAAACAAAATGTAGTACAGGTGACAGCTTCTCAATTTATTGAATGTTTACGTATGTCCACAGCTGTTCAAATGTTGTTTATTTTTGTTCTACATAGTAATTTATCACCATTTTCACAGCCAGCAAGAGGAGGAGAGTCAAGAACAAGCAGGCCCATCGGGGGTTTTCACACCTCCAACAGTACCTGCAGCAGTCACCCCTCCCCCACCCTTGCCTGCAAGAGTGTCACCACTTGAAACAAGGTTTGTGTCCTGTGTCCTGAACATTTGTGTAGTTTGGGTCTCTAAAAGAAATAATACACTCTTTACTGCTTCAATTATGTATTTATATGTCTTATTCTTTGTAGAAATTGATGTGAATCATCAGTCTTCTAAATATGTTTCTTTCAACATCTTGTACTCCTTTTTTTATGCAACAGTGAGGAGGAAGATGAAGGTAAAGAGTATGTGCCACCACAGCACAGATCCTCTTCATCGTCCGGTTCTTGGCCTTCTTCCCCTTCCCCCAAGAGAGCTTGTGGTCATGGTCGTGGCCGGCAAGCCAGCAAGCGGCCAAGACCGGCTCCTATACACCCGGAGGCTCAGCTTGAAAGATGGCACACTAAAGAAGAGCCAGATGTTGAGCCTCCAACACCACGGTTTGAGCCAAAGAATCCACCAGGACCCAGGATCAACACCACGGTACAGTGGTCCCCGCTCAGCCTCTTCAGGTTGTTCTTTAGCAGCAGCACCATAAACACTATCATCAACAAAACAAATGCCAATGCTGCACGACGGTTGGCACAAGGTGCAAAATACAAGTGGTCTCCCCTCTCAGGTGACTCTTTCTGTCTCTTCCTGTCAATAGTTTTGTTCTTCGGCTTGTTACGTGTACACTCTAGGAATGACTATTGGCGGAGGGACTGGCCGTACCAATTTGTCTTTCCTAAGTGTAGCATGGCAAGGGACAAATTTGAGGCCATCTTTTGGTCTCTTCATCTCTCTAATGTTGCAGAGGATGAAGAGAATGAAAGAAAAAGGGGAACACCTCAATTTGACAGGCTATTCAAAATCAAGCCACTCTATGGTGAGATTGTGAATGCCTGTAACTCCCTTTTTCAGCCAAACCAGAGCATCACTATTGACGAGCGAATGGTGGCCAGCAAAGCACGCATTGGATTTAGGCAGTACATGAGAGATAAGCCAACAAAATTCGGCTATAAATAATTCGTATTGGCAGATTCTAAAAGAGGCTTCACTTCAAATTTTTTTGTTTATCAAGGTAAAGATGATACCAAGGTCAAACAGAGGGGACAGACGGAGGATGGCCTTAGTGTCACATCCGTCATGAACCTGATGAAGTTTGATCTCCTTGGGAAAGGTTATCATCTTTACGTTGATAACTTTTACACCAGTCCACGGCTTTTCTTGAAATTACTCCAAAATCACACTGTAGCTTGTGGCACCATTCGGTCAAATAGGGAGGGATTTCCTAGGACAACTGTGAACGACCTCCCAAAGAAACCTGAGAGGGGAGACATGAGATGGATAAGGAAGGGCAACCTACTTTTTGCACGGTGGATGGACACAAACATTGTCAACATCTGCAGCACCTTCCACAAGGCATACAGCGGGGCCACTGTACAGAGGAAGGTAAAAGGACCAGATGGACGCTGGCACAGGGGTCCTGTTGAGGTACCAGACGCATGCAGGGACTACAACATCAACATGGGTGGTGTGGACCTCTCGGATGCTCTGATCCAATATTACACCGTCCACAGCAAGACAATGTGGTGGTATAAAACATTTTTCTACCATTTTGTTGATATTGCTGTGGTCAACAGCTTCATTCTCCACAAAGCAGTGGCCACCTGCCAAAACCAGACCCCTATGTCCCTCAAAAGGTTCAGGGAGGTTTTGATGAAGGAAATGGTTGAGCAGGCTCAACCTATTCCTGCTGCAGCCACCCCTGGCCCGAGCGGTACTAACACCTGCATGCCTGTGTTCGGGGGGGGTGATGGCACTCGCAGCGCAGGAAATGTGTGGTCTGTGCAGCCAAGGAAAGGGAAAAGGCCAAGCAGGTGCAGGGCTACAAGGCAAAGGACATGAAGACACCAGTTTTCTGTTCAAGGTGCAATGTGTCACTTTGCCTTGTGCCCGGAAGAAACTGCTTTGTGGAGTATCACAAAAAGCAATAACTTGTTGGGTATTCAAGAACCATATTCATCCCTTTACATACTGTAATATTGTTTGTTGTGTTTTGCTGTGTTCTTTGTTTACCTGCACATTCCATTCGTTTACATTTATATTGATCACTTTATATTTTATTTATTGTTTGTTAGATTTTATTTACAAAAAGAACTGTAGCTGGAAAGCCATTCCATCCCCTTATTTCTCATTGTAAATAGTTTTGTTGCACCTTTTACTTACATTTCATTTGCACTAGTTGTGTTTGCTGTGTTTTATATTGTTATCTATTGTTTTTTATTTTACATTTGTTGCACCTTTACTATTTATTTTACATTGTTTGCACTGAGTGGTTGTTTCTCTTTTTGCACTTTTCTTTAAATAAAAATACTCCCTGTGGAGCCAAAAAATGTAGAATTTCCTGTTATTTTTCATTATTCTTTATCGCATATAAACAAATATATTGTGCAGAATGGTAGAAATTGATGAGTCACAAGGTAAATTTCATATCCAAAGGCTCCAATAGTTAGTAGGAGACTAGTCTAATGGAAATTAATTGTAATTTGGAGCCAGTTCTCATCAGAGGTAGAAAATAATCCATTTGGCACAAAGTGTGCCAAATTGTGCCAAACTGAGTCCTCGCCAGGGTGTATCCTTACAAAAACCTTCATGTAGGCTTTACTGTTTGCCCAAATTCTATCAAATTTGGTACATTTGTGGTCAAGGAGTGGATGAAGCTAATCAGTGACATCTGGGGGCCTGAAATCATTGCCAGCATTGTGTTTTCCCCTGTCAAAAAAAGAAAACATTTTGGCGAGGGTAAAAAAACGTAACTTTTCCTCTGATTTATTCCAATTTACTCAGGCATAATGACAGATAAAACACTTCTGACACTTGGACATCTAGAGACTTCAGAGAATGTGTTCCAAGGATACAAAGAACATGCATATAACCTTTAGTAAAGTGTAGTAATTCCTCATTTAATTTGGGTATGTCTTGTAGGCGTTTTTTTTCCTTAAAATATGCTTAGGGCTTAACGAGAGGTCTGTGCTTAATATGAGTGACCACTTTGATGATGCATTTAGAGATGAGAAGATGCTCAAACTTGTTGTAATAAATACATCTTTAATAGACACTTAAATAAAGTCAATTCATATGAATAGTTAAAAACATTACCTACAATCTTAATTTAAAATACAAATAAATCTGGTAAAAAGATGATAAAAAAATATTATCGCAATCACATGCCACCAATGTTTTTCAGCTTTGGGAAAGAGGGCCATATTGCCAGATTAACCATCATGTCCCTCTGGTACGCCTGTACTTTGAGGGGGGTGACCGGCGTAAGGACTTCAGGCTGACCAGGCCCTCCCTGGAGCACCTCATCCACCTTCTCCAAGGGGACCATTATCATGGATGGGGGAAGGCACTTGAGGTGCTTGTTTTTGTTTACTGGCTGGCCTGTGGCACATCATATCGGGTCGTGTCAGAGGCCTTCGACGTCTCTCGTTGGACGTGCCACGATATGGTCCACCGGGTCAGCAAGGACATCCAGCAAGTTTTCCAGAGATTCATCCGTTTGCCCAACAGGGCTGAGTTGGAGGAAATTGGGGCTGGGTTCCAGCAGTTGGCTGGTCACCCAGCTTTCTGCAAAGTGGCAGGAAGTATCGACGGATGTCATGTCCGCATTGTGCCCCCTGGACAGTTTGGAGCGGACTTTTTTAACAGAAAACTGTTCCACTCTGTCCAGTTTCAGGCCATTGTGGACCACAAAGGACACTTCCTAGACGTGCACATCGGTTTCCCTGGCTCTGTGCACGATTCGCGGGTCCTCAGGTGCAGCCCTGTGTACGTGCACCAGCTGTACCCTCCTCCAGGATGGTGCCTATTAGGGGATGGGGGTTATCCCTGCATTTCACAACCACTCACCCTTATCACCCCATTCAGGGAGCCTTTGAGGAACCCCACCGAGGAGAGGTTCAATGCCAGGCATTCTCGGGCCAGGAGTGTGGTGGAGAGGGCATTTGGAGTACTGAAAACCAGGTGGCGCTCCATATTTCTCTGCCTTTTCCTCCACAACCTCTGCCTCGGGCACAGGGACATTTTGGAGCCAGAGAACGGTGAAGAGGTTGATGGGGATGATAACTGTCTGGCAGCTCATGACTTGGCCCAACAGAGTGGTGATGCCTTCAGGGATCGGATGGCAGCAGCAATATCAGTTCTGGAGGAGCAGATCCCTGCACTGAGGGAGCATGATTATGAATGAGCGTTATAATAATAGTCATTGTGAATAGTTAATGTTATTGTTAGTTATATTGTAGTTGTAAATAGTTAGTATTAGGATGGTTTACAGTGCAATATTTGAGGGCTATAAGTCTTCATGATTCTGTAAAGGTTTTTGTTATGTTCTATTATTGGTTCTTTATGGGGGTTTATTCTTGATTTTTTGAAAAGGAGGATATGTTAGTTTTATGATTTGTTCTATGATTTTATGAAATTAGTATTTTATTTTGTATTTTTTGTATACGTAAAAATTGTTGTTGGGTAGCTTAATATGTGCATGAGCTTTTGCTTCGGCCTGTGCCTTTTCAGTCTCAAAAGTGCAGGCTTTTTTTGGGGTCCTTAACTACCATAGTGCCTTTTTTTATTTAAATCCTTTTATTTTCGTAGTGAGTAACCCGGGTCATCAGGGCTGGTCTCTGTAATTTAAAGACTCTCTCTGTTTCTGCAGGAGGATCTCTGTCCTGAAGCGGCGAGAGGACAATCGGATGTCTCCGAGGACAGTTTTCCTGTGGTGCTTGGGGACTTCAACCAGGCACACCTTAGCCGGGCTCTCCCCAAATACAGACAGCAAGTCACATGCGCTACTAGGGGTGGGAACACTCTTGACCACTGCTATTGCACTACTCGGCAGGCATATCATTCTGTCCCCCGTGCTGCGCTGGGCAAAGGAGATCACCATCTCATCCATCTGATCCCTCGCTACAGGCAGAGATTAAAATTATCAAAACCTGTAGTGCGGAGCTTCAGACTGTGGTCCAGTGAGGCAAAGGAGAGACTTTGTGCCTGGCTGGAGAATGCAGGCTGTGACCAGGACTTCGTTGAGTGGGCGGGGCCTGAGGCTGGAAACAGCCTGGATGAATACACGGACACTGTGACATCATGCATCAGCCTCGGTGAGGAGGTGTGTGTTCCTCTGCGCTCCAGGAAGATCTACAACAACGACAAGCCCTGGTTTTCAGCCCATCTCAGGAGGTTCAGGTCCGAGAAGGAGGTGGCAAGGCGCAGTGGAGACATGGCTCTGTTCAGGAAGGCCAAGTACAGGTTTGCCAAAACGGTGAGGGAGGCGAAACATTGCTTCTCAGAGAAACTAAAGCAGCAGCTCTCTGTAGAGACTGAATAACCGATGGTTCCTTGTCTTCTGGTTTTCTGACTTGTGTTCGAACTGTTTTATCTCCGGTTTGTAAATGTTTTAGGATCATTTATATTTCAGTGTGGTATTTAAAGTTCTGAAGTTTGTGCTTAGGCTGACAGTTTGTCGCTTGTTTTTGTTCACATAGAGAAAAAGGTTATATTTGTATTTTTCACCAAGCAGACTCAAACCCCAACAGCAGAGCATTGTGATAATCTGTAATCTGTTTTTAAATCTCTTATTTAGAATCAGTTTACTGATCCAAATTAACCCTAAAACCTATTTATTCAAATCAACGATCAGAAAATCCAACCTAAAGGGAAAAGAAATCTGAACTTTCATGGGACCGTATTTATTGAACAGTCAGATAATATGTCACACCCACTGGACTGAACACGTGAACTTGGTTTTGTCATTAAATTATATCGTAGAAAAAAAATTGGTCTGAGAAGTGTTTTTTTTTTTTTTTTTAAACTTTATTTTTTCAAGGTTTTTTTTGCACAAAACATGGGTAAACAACAGCAAAAACAGAAAAAGGAAAAAACAGAAAATAAACATGCACACATATACCAGTGAACCTGAGCACATATGGGCCCGTATTCGCTTTCGCCCACATGTCCAAATAATCGTAGACAGATCAATAGATACATAATTGCACTTACACACATGCGCACATTCATAAGAACAATACATGAAAGAAAACGTGGGGTTGCGAGTGAGTCGCCACTGATTACAGCATAATGGTCATTGTTTTCCTAAACCAGAATATACTAAGTCTTATGGAAGGCTATCACTTTTTCTTGTGATGTAGGTATTCCATTTTTCCCAGAGGGCATTACCTTTGTCCCTTTGTAATCTAAGACTAAAGGTTAGCAGTTCCATAGTTTGAATGTCTTTAATTATGGCTTTCCACTGATTAACCGTGGGAGGTTCCGTGTTGAGCCATCTTCTTCTTATGGCTTTTTTGCTCGCTGCCATAAAATTTTCTCTCTTTTCTTTCTTTGGTAGTTCAGTGTCTTTATTACCCAGGTAGAATGATAAGCAAGTAAAATCAAAATTATACTGCAAAACTTCTCTAGTTATGTTTTGAACTTGTTCCCAGAAGGGTTTAAGAGTGGGACAGCTCCAGAATATGGGTGTATGATCTGCCATACCATGTCCACATCCTCTCCAGCATGTAGGTTGTGGTCCTGTCTGTTTACACTTTTGCTTTGGTGTTATAAAGAATCGAATGCAATTTTTCCAGGAGAAATCTCTCCACAGTTGTGAGGACGTAGTGGTGATTTGTGTGTCAATTATATTTGTCCAGTCTTCTGAGGTAATTCCAGTTTCCAATTCTTTTTCCCATTTTTCTTAATATAGTTTGTTGAGTGGCCTCTTAGATCAGATGTCTATATAGTTCACACACACCACACACACACACACACACACACACACACACACACACAAAACCACAAATGCTGTTGTTTGTTGTATGTCTTGCACTGTCACACTGCACAAATAAAAAAAAATAATCTCTTGTTTTCCCTCTGTCAAGCAGGAGGTTACCAGGGGGCGGTCCGATCGTTTAGTGAGCTTGGCAGCACCTGGGCCTGGTGTCTCCCAATCTATAAATACCCCGCCTTCTCCACCGGTTCTCTCTCTCCTTCACTCCGGGCGGATGGCTTCGTCTTTGTGTTTTACGCATCCAACATCCTACCACACATTTCACCCCGTATTCACTCATGCATGCACACACCTACACAGCTGATCTACTGATCCTCACACCCCATGGTTTGTTTGTGTTCACCTCTTAAGTTGCTGTTGTGCTATTTTTTAAATAAATTCCTTACGTTTACGTCAACTAGTGCATCTTCTGTTGTTTTTGTCGCGGCTGAAGAGCCTGGTCGTGACATATTTTACTCCGTCTGTTCCTCCATCATCTCTTAGCCGAGGAAGAAATTAAAACCTTTATTGACTTTGACGTAAACGCTGACACACGCATGCACACACACATACACACAAACTCGGCCCCTGGTTGTGAAGTCTGAATCCACTCCTCCTCTTCCTCCTCCTCCTCGTTCTCTGAGTGTCAGAGTTCATGAAAACGGTGGAAATAACAAAGTGATCTATTTAAGTACAAATGAGAGGAACATCTACTTAGGTCTTTCTACGTTTACGCCTCCTCTCTGAACTTTAATTATTGAGGTTAAGAAAAAACATTTTCAAATCTAATCCACAGTAAGTCACAGAAGAAAAGAATCATCCTGTAACACACTGAGCCTGACTTTTCGTGTCCCCACGGTACCCATTCCCATCCCCCAACCTCAGTGTCTTGCAGTAGTTTAAGCTATGAGCAGATATTTAGCAGATAAACAGCAAAGTTCACATTAAAATTCTTTAAATACTTGTATTTTGAGATGTTTGTGGATTTTTTCAATTTAAACATTTATGTAATTTATGTATTAACCACAGATAATCACTAATTATATTCTTTTTAATCTATATTAATTCGATACAGTTGGAGAAATAATTAAAATGTGTAGAAAAAGAAGAAAAGTTAACATTAAACCGTTTTTCATCATTTTCCCTTCTCAACGAGCACCTGGCTCTGTGCCAGTTTCTGTGTGACATAGGCATGGGCTGATTTGGGTGCACATGAGCAGCGCTTGGTTTTATGAGGTATGAGTCGATTATTTTAAATCAACAGGTGGTCGCTGAAAGCAGTGACAACCTGTTGATTAAAATAATCGACTCATCCCTTTAAAAGGTGGAAATGCGAGCCGTCCTAGCGTGGAAAGACACAGTTCATGAACAGTGGTAAGCTTCGACATGCTAATGTAGAAAGAGATGGCAGACGATGGTTAATAACAAAATACGGTGTGCCAAGGACGACGTTTCGACCCTGGTGGGTCTTCTTCAGGTCAGGCACACAGAAACAAACAAAAAACTGCTGGCTGGAATAAGAAAAAACAAAAAGCTGCTGGCTGATAAATCCTGAGATGTTCTCTCTCCAAGCATATGAGTAAAATTAAATAAACCCTGCCCACTTCTCCCTTTTTATATTCTCCGGCGAAAATTAGCAATGAATTTCTTATTTTTCCAATTTTATTTTGTACTCTTTTTAGATTTTAAAATTTTAACCCCTTAACCGGTATTTATGCTTTTAACCCTTTACTATATAAAAATAACCTATACAACATATACTTGTTGATAAATGTATTTATTTATTTATTTAAAAATTAATATGATTAATTTTAGCTTGGAAAGACACCGTGCCATCTCTTTCTACATAAGCTTCGAGACGCCGGTGTGACAGGGCTCCACCGGCCCAAGCGGGGGGTGTACGTGAGCAGCGCTTGGTTTTAGCGACGACCTGTTGATTTAAAAAAATCGACTCATCCCTTTAAAAGGTGGAAATGACAGTGAGGGTTAGGGTTAGGGGTTAGGTGAGGGGACTATCTCCCATCTCCTAAAGGGAGTGGGGTGGGCACGGGCCTTCCCCCAACCGGACACGTTCCTCCGGTTCCAAAAGGGCTGGCGGAAGCGCTGGCCCCTTCGGCCATAACGGACTTCCGTCCAGCCATACTGGTGTCCACTCATGTTTGAGTGGCTTTACTTTTCTTAAATATTTATTGTTGTTTGGTTTTAAAAAAATAAAAGAAAACACAGATTTTTTCAATAAAAGGAAACTTAACTTTATTCTGTAAAATAAAAGGAAACTTAACTGTAATTTTTAACTTTCGTAAAGAAAAATGTGATTGTTTTGATAAAAAGGTGAAAATTAAAAAGAAAAGGTAAATAAACTGTGTTTTTAACTATTTTTATGAAATGTTTAAATGTTTTTAAAGTTTGTTTTTTTAAACTTTTTTTCAAAAAATGAACTATAAACAAAATAAACGGTGTGCCAATGACGACATTTCGACCCTGGTGGGTCTTCTTCAGGTCAGGCACACGGTAATAAACAAAAAAACTACTGGCTGGAGAAGGAAAAAAAAAAGAAACTGCTGGCTGAATATTCTTTGCTGTTGTCACTCCAAGCATCTAAATGAAATGAATAAACCCTGCCCACTTCTCCCTTTTTATACTCTCTAGCAAAAAATAGTAATTAATTTCTTATTTTTCTAATTTTATTTTGTGCACTTTTTAGATTTTTAAAGTTTTAACCCTTTAACCGCCATTCATGCTTTTAACCCTGTACTATATAATGATAACCAATACAACATATATTTAATGATAAATGAATTTACTTATCTATTAATTAATTAATTTATTTAGTTATTAAAAAATTAATATTTAATTTTAACTTGTCTTAGGGTTAGGGCTAGGGTTAGAGTTGGGGTTAGGGTTAGGTTTGGGGAATGTCTCCCAGCTCCCACCATGTTTCAACCCTGCTTGGGTCTGCAGGGAGCGGGGTATGCATGGGCCTTCGCCCCACCGGACACGTTCCCCTGGTCCCGAAAGGCTGGCAGCAACTTCTGTCCAGCCGTATTCATAAATTGTTTTTAGTAGTTTGAGTTTTTTTGTGTATTAAATATATTTAAAAATTATTTTTAGTCTTTTTTGACTTTTACACACACACACACACACACACACACACAAACAAACAATAATATGAACTCCACATGAACTATGTATAAACAATGTGTGCATCATCGACGACATTTCGACCCTGCTTGGGTCTTCCTCAGGTCTGGGCACACAAAAAAGAAAAAAGCTGTTGGTCAATAATTCATTGGTGTTCACCAAGCAAGCTCTGAAAAGAAAAGAATTATCCCTACCCTCTTCTCCCTTTTTATACCCTTTGGCAAATAATTACAATGAATTTCTTAGATTTTCCATGTTATTTTTAACTTTTTTTAGTTTGTGAAATTAACCCTTTATCCACTGTTTGTGCTTTTAATCCTTATGAAATGCATTTATTCACTTATTTGTGCTTTTATTAACAAAACGGTACACATTCCCATCCCCCACCCTCAGTGTGTCTTGCAGTAGTTTAAGCTATGAGCAGATATTTAGCAGATAAACAGCAAAGTTCACATTAAAATTCTTTAAAATACTTGTATTTTGAGATGTTTGTGTATTTTTTCAATTTAAACATTTATGTAATTTATGTATTAACCACAGATAATCACTAATTATATCCTTTTTAATCTATATTAATTCGATACAGTTGGAGAAATAATTAAAATGTGTAGAAAAAGAAGAAAAGTTAACATTAAACCATTTTTCATCCTTTTCCCGCCTTAACGAGAACCTGGCTCTGTGCCAGTTTCTTTGTGACGTAGGCATGGGCTGATTTGGGTGCACGTGAGCAGCGCTTGGTTTTAAGGTTGTCGCTGAAAGCAGCGACAACCTGTTGATTTAAATAATCAACTCATCCCTTTAAAAGGTGGAAATGCGAGTCGTCCTAGCTTGGAAAGACACAGTGCCATCTCTTTCTACAAAAGTTTCGACATGCTTATGTAGAAAGAGATGGCAGACGCCGGTTTGAGGTGAGCAGACGCCGGTGTGACAAAATGGTCACATAGTAGTCACCACTACACAACTGTTGCCACCTTACACCTAAGATGCAACTCACACGTGACCCACCAAATGTGGAGAGCAGTTACCACCAACAAATGGTCACACAACACAAGTTACTGCGCACACAAAATCCTAATTGTTATCACACAGAGTGACCAAGCAGGAATGGGTAGCCTTATGAAACACACACAAAAACAGTACTACAGTACAAAACAATTGTAAGAGCAAAATGAGTCTGCCCAACCCCTACCTACTTGACAAGATGTCTGACTTACCTAACTAGTCTTCAGGGGCCTGCCGAGCTCGAGGCATCACCTAAGTGTGCCCCCTCCTCAGGATTACCACCAAAAATAAGAAAGGCAAAATAAAAAAGTGGCAAGCTCTTCCCTGCCCGGCGACTGAATGATCAGGGTGCTCAGAAGTTACAAATAAAAGCAACTACTAATGATAGTGACAGTAACAGTAACAGAAGACTAACAAACCCAAACTATGGTCACTAGTTACTAGAGGAAAAAAAAACAACTTCAAAGAACTTCATGGATGTTCGATCCCAGACGAGCCCCCATTCGTTACGCCCCACCCTTAGGCGGCCCTATGGGGCTAACAACAATCCTCAACTTTTTACTCATTAAATTAACAAAACACCTTCAAAAGTTTAACACGTGATTTATTGTGACAAAATAACAAAATTATGAGCTAAGCACAAAGCACCCACAACACAAATGAGAGGCAGCAGGACAGCAGTTCCCCACCAATGCCTCTCCAGACTGCAGGCAGCTCTCAGTCTTTAAAGGCCCAGCACCAGGTGAGTCTGATTAGCACTCAGTGATTTCACCTGGGCAGCTATGGAGAGACAAAAGGGGAAAAACACACACACAAAACAAACACACAGCCCTAACACAGTATTGCCGAGAAATGCATCCACCCATAAAAGTTTGATTCTTTGGGACTTTCCCAAAGAATGAGTGGACTTTCCTAGTGTAATATTTCCAAAAATATGTCTTGTTATTGTCTCAATAGCTAATTAACTGGTGGATGCACATTTCGGCAAACAGAAAAACAGCTAATATAAGGTTAGTATTAAGTGTCTGCCGACTACACTATAACTTAACAAAGAAACTCTTTGATTCTAGTTGCTTGTTTACCTATCG